GTGTGTGTGTGTGTGTACCATGCCCTTGGTCAGCTGATCACTCTTCTCCAGGTTTTCTCTGATGAATGATAACGTCTCCTGCTCCTGTAACATCACACACTGTCACTGTCAGCACGAAGTCACACATAACTGATCAATAATCGATCACTTAATCAGCCACTAAAGTCATTCATATTTATTGTTTATAGTTAAAAAGGTTGTTTTTGTGACGTTTCCTCTCCCGGAAGTGTCTGACCTGCTTCAGTTTCTCCTCAATCTCCCGCTTCCTGGCGGACGCGTCCTCGGTGGGAATCATCCTGGAGGGAATCCCCATCAAAGGACGGTGGATTAACGGGTTCAACCGGGTGAGCAGACCCGGGTTAGGGCATTAAAAACGGCAATAACGACGACCCTAAAGCGACTGTTGTGGGTAGCTGAAACAACGACGTCAAGCTCGGCCAGGTTAGCGCTTACGAGACGACGGTTTCCGGTTGGCGCTTCAAAGTAAAACACCCCGCTGTCAACATTTGGTGCAGCTTCAATTACACAATTACACAATTACAATCAATCAAAACTGAAAATAACAAACAGGGAACAGAGATAATTACCCAGCAGTTTGTTTCTGCCTTTAATACGTCTTTTTGTTACGTATGTGAATCTAAGATGTCATTCCAATTGATTCATTTTAGTCCAAAAACGCAGATATGAAGTCAGCTCATATTTTTAACTTACCAATGGATTAAATATTTTTTCGACGTTTTTTTTTAATAAACATAATCCCTCGTTGCTTCTGTATGTTTCGTTTGTCTCCAAATTTACCTCTAATATAACGCTAATACATCAAAATTCCCTGTGTGCAAACTGAAACGGCTTTATTGTGAAAGTAAAATCTTCCGGTAAATAAGGCGAGGCTTCTCTTCCGGTTCCGTCTGTTGGTCCTGGGAGCGTTTGGAACACTGACGCCATGTTTGTTGTGGCGGTTAATAACATAATAATCTACTTTCATATCAATTATTAATACACTATAGTGACGTTATAACTTTAATTATTTAGTTAGTGTAAAATACTGCCCGACGAAACTCTAAGAAACCGTTAACAGAGACAACGTTACATGCAGGGACTTAAACAAACCGCTAGGGGTCGCTGCAGTCTAATGGAGGACCTACAAATTCAGTAAAATTACAAAATAAGATCCAAAATCTTAAATAAACCCCTTTTTAATTTAGTTTAACTTGTATTTTAGATGTTTTTTTGTTTGTTTGTGTTCCCTTTTTCAGTTAATATTTGCTGCTTGGATGGATTTATTGTTGGGTATTATTTAACATCCATTGATGAGGCCGTTTGTTACTTGAAGAAGCTTAATAAAGTCACAAAAATGAATAAATAAAGGCCCAAAGTGTTAAATAAATAAGATATTAAAACTAGTATGAAGTGTTTGTCCATTAAGTTTATTGCAGGTTAATTTTAACATAACTGGCTCCGAAATGTTTGTCTTGATTTACAGATTTTGTGATTTTAAAAAGGAATTATCAAGGAAAAGAGCTTTTATTGGAGAAATACTGTTGTGACATAAAAACAAAGAACATTTGAAGTTCCTAGTTGTTTTACTGTGTATGTTGTTTGTATTTATTCATATGATTTTAAAAACTTATTTTAAATTCAGACACATTGGGTCTCTTCAGTAAAAAACCCTGACTGGGTAATCAGATTTAAAGTTGCACAGTGAATAATAATTATTTGCACAAATAAAAACAACAACACTGTTCGGAAAAATGTTACAAATGTATTAGCACAAAAGAAGATGTTTTCCACATAGTTTCTTTACATACATATTTACAAATCTCCTGGAATACTTTACACTCTTTACAACCTTTCATACAAACAAAAATGTTTGTATGAAACCTCTCACAAACTACATTATTCAGTTTTATAAAGACGAATACACAAAGTAAAGAAGGTATCTCTGGGAGCTGTGAGACAACAGAACACATTAAACTACTATTAGTTTTAACATTTCAAGCCCTTTTTCCCCTCATGCATTTTCTCTCCAGTATACACTCTGTTTATTGCTGGGCTTGGAAAACAGCTACCGGAGCTCCGTGTGGAAAACCAAACACTCTGTCTCTACTGGGGCCGACACTCACACGTTACGTTAATAAGAAAACAAATCAAAAACTGTTATCCTCAGTTCATGTTGCAAAAAAAGATTTCTTTCTACGTATCCGCTTGCTAAAAGAATAACAGCATTAAGAGTAATGCAGATGTTAAAATCATCGCAGAGCTGCACTCTACGATTCCTCTTCTTTAGACAGCGCCTGCGAGGAAACACACACACACACACACGGGACAGTTAGTGAGACGACCGATAACGGGACCGTTCAGTTCGATTCACTCACAATCTGACTCCTCACCTGTTTGAGGAACTGTCGGCCAAAATAATTGGTAGCCATGTTCTTTAAGCTGGTCTTGCCTCCGACTTTACACCGCACGTAACCGTAGAGGTTGGCGCCTTGCAGCACCAGACCCATGATCACCACCGGCTGAGGAGGACGACAGGAGGACGACAGGAGGACAGTGTCAACAGATAAAGCTGGACAGATTCTGTTTTGTATTAATCAACTGATCCTAACAAACAGTGTGTGTGTTTATATCTTCTTCCTCTCCCACAGAGCTCCATCCAGTCCAAAAAACGATCCAAACACATCAGTGGGCCTGTTTCTGAACCCTGGGTGATCTGATCCCGGCTCTAAATACAGTGTAATAGTGTTTGACCACGTATGTTTTGTAGTGTAAACACCAACAGATACTGACACACACGTGGAGGCGCATGTTAACACCAGCTGTAAACAGGCCCACTGTTGCACTGGGTGACACACACTGTAGTTTATTTTAATACAACATCCTGCTGCCCCAAATACTCATAAGAACACCAAATGTGGATTAATCCACAGCTGAAAATAGTCCCCAACAAAAGCTCTAATCTCCATCCTCCTGTTTCAGTTGCGTTTGATGAATTTCTGAACCTTTAAAAAGAAGAAATGATACATTTATGACCCTGTAATGAAGATATGTGGGCTTGTTTATGAGCGTGCACGGAGGCATTTATGCTCTGCATTGTTCGTCGCAGTATTCTGTTCCCAAAATATCTAAAAGTCCTTCAATATGGTATTTAACACACTTTAATCCTCTGGAGAAACTGTCTAATACCTTTTAAGGAGGGGATTTCTATAAATATATCATTCACAGTGAGGGGTTGGTGCAGTTTTAACATCCTACGATGTACCAATGATGCTTTTGTTCACAGTTTGATCCCTGAAAGCTGAGCACTTACCACCCATTTGATCTTGAAGGAAAACAGGGTGCTGAAAGCGAAGATGACCCAGAGGATGGGACAAACAATCAGCCCGAGCCAGAAGATTCGAGACTCAGAATCCGACGCTTGTTGCTTCGCAGTGCCCTGAGGAAGATAACAGGATATTCTCACAGTTAGGACAGCTGCAGTTACTGTAAGGCCTGCTGACAGGCAACGAGGGACCTCCGAGGTCAGCGTGGTGCGTCCACTGACATCAGTGTGTAGAACTCTTTCAAGTAAACGAGGAAACAGAGATTCTCTTACTGGGAGCCAGAAACTGCACTCAGACTGAAACTAATGATTTTAGATTCTCATTTAAATTCTAATTCTCATTTTAAAAACAAACTCTGAACTTTTAAACCCAGAAAGACGCTGAAACAATAATAATAATAGTTGTTTAGATTATTGCTACTCCTCATCATCAGAAAGCTTCAGCCTGAACTAGAACCAGGAAAACGATTCACTCCTCTGCTGCAGACACTGAACTGACTGCCTCAGTTGCCTTCCAGTCCGATCACCGAGGTCCGTCCCATAAAAGCAGCGGTGAGTCTGTTTTTATTGCCCTGAGCTGTGGAACTCGCTGCCTCTGAATGTTAGAATAATTAACTAACGTTTTGTGTTGTTTCCGTTTGTCTCTGTGTGTGTGTGTGTCTCTGTGTGTGTGTGTGTTTCTAAAAGCTGCTGTTTAAATAAAGTCTCACCTTCCGAGCCTCAAACACCCAGTGGCTGCGTCCATCGTCGTCCACCTGGTTCCACCAGCGCAGACCGACCATCAACCTCCCGGTGATGTTCTGGAAAGACACGCTGTGTTTAGGGCCTGTAATTAAACACCAGCACAGAAACATTCCTGCTGTTGGCTACAGCGAACTCACACACCTTCACCGCCCAGAAGTCACAGGAGAGCAGCAGGATGATGGTCACCATGCAGGCGATGAAGCTCCGGCTGACCAGCTCACACAGCAGGTACACGAGGATGGCCGTAGCTCTGAAGAAGAGGTGGAAGAAGGAGGCCACCGGATGCCTGGAGACAGACGTCAGTGCAGATACACCAGAGAGTAATGATTATCTCGTAATGTGTCAAACACTTTGCGCCAAGTTATTAAAGAAATGTCTGCAACTTGTGGAAATAGCCATAATAATGTCATAATAATGTCTAAAACAAATGTATGCAGTTTACAACAACATGACGAAGAAAAGTGTCAGATTATTCTATTTTTATTTGATAAAAGGCTTTAAAGCGGAATAAATGATCCCAGTAGTTGTGTTGCAGCTGTTCACTTACTTAATATTCTTCTTTGACCTTTTCCCTGCATCTTCCTCCGCATCAAACAGAGACACGTCTTCATCGTTGGTATCCTGAGGGATCAATGAGGAAGAGAGTAAACTGTCTGTTTCCACCAGGACCGCTCTCGTGACTAACAAACACAACAACAGTTCACATCCACATGTTCCCTTCCAGCATGTAAACACCAGCTGCTCCACCTTTGTGATCCTCACATACTGTGGGATGAAGATAAAACCAATCACTCACACAGTATTGATCAGGGCTGCGAGCAGAATATGGATCTTTCTTCAGCTGATACGATGACATGACCGATCATTTCTCATCAAACAAACACGTTTCCTTCCATCTGAAGAACAGCAGCTCTACATTACACATGCAGTGTGGATCAATACAGTCTGTGCACTCTGAGTATTGATCCTGTTTTATTAGATTTAGATTTAGAGACAAGTGGCGAGTTATGGGAATCCTTTTAGACTAACATCTGCACAAAAGGAATTCATGAAAGAGAAATACACACATTCAACTACACACACATCTCAGAGCAGTGGAGGGTGATCAGTAGTTATTGATTACTGTTACCACACTGTACTGACAGTGATCAAAGTGATCAGAAACATTGATGAATATCTGAAGTTGATATTTAACCTGCTGACTAACTGATCAATAACTATTTGAACACTTTATTCCCTCACAGTAACTCACTAACACCCTGTGGTTATTGATCAGATCGATGTGTTGAATCGATCCGAGTAACGACGAATAACAGCAGCTGTTAGTTAACGTTAGCTGACTGTTAGCGGCAGAAAGCACACACACACAGAGATACACACA